CGAGGAGCCCGCGGGAGAGCGGGGCTGGCAGGGAGCTCCGGCTAGGCCGGTCCCCGCCTCAGGCAGGGGGGTCCCCGGGCAAGCCAGCCAGGACCGGGCCTGGGCAGAGCTGAGGCTTGAGGCGGGGGGGCAGTGGGGGCCTGGTCACAGATAAACTCCCCTCGCGTCTAGAAGCACAGAAACTTCGGGGCGGAAGGGACTTCAGGGGGGACCTAGTGCAGCCCCCTGCTCAAACCAGGTCCAGCCTGTCAACCCCCGGTCTTCAAAGTCTATAAGGACAGAGAATCCATCACCCCTCCGGGGAGCCTGTCCCTAGAGAGTAAGTTTTCCTTCATACCTTCCTGTGCTTGAAACCATTGCTGCCTGGTCTGTCACCTGCCACCACTGAGCACTAGCTCCATCTGCTTTGGAACCCCCTTGCAGGTAGCTGAAGGCTGCAATGAAATCCCCCCTCAGTCTTCTACATTTGGATGTCTATCTCGCTGGGATCCTTTGACACTAGCTGATTTACTGCCCCTAGGGCAGGGGCCTGGACTTGATCAGGGGCAACGTGTAGGAGGTGCACATGCACCCCCTGAGAACACCAGTGCACCCCTGCCCGGCCATGTTCCTTGTTTAGCTGATGAACGGGGGACAGGTGGGATCACCAGTGCCCACCCCACACCCCGCAAGCACCGGCGGGGGAGCAGGGCCACCAGCAAAGCACCACCAGCAAAAGCTGAAGTGGCCATGGGAGTTCCAGAAGCAGTGTGGCCACTTTTACACTGAGTGAGGTCAGCCATGGGGGACCTCCCCCCCCACCCCGCCAGCGGGATTGGCTGCAGGGGGACCCCCCTCCCCCAGGTCATTGACTGGTATTGGGGGGGCACATGTCCCCCCTGACTCAAGAGACACCAGACACCTATGGACTCGATGATCCTCCGAGGTCCCTTCCAGCCCTAATGTCTATGAAATCTTTGAAAAAAAATTCTCTTCTCCAAACTAAATAAAACCAGTTCCTTCAGCCTCTCCTCAGAAATTATGTGCCCCAGGTCTCAAACTGTTTTTGTTGCCCTCCGCTGAACTCTCCAATGTGTCCTAGTCTTTTCTGTAGTGGGGAGACCAAAACGGGACCCAGAACTCCAGATGTGGCCTCACCAGTGCCACATAGAGGGAAATAATCACTTCCCTCAATTTGCTGGCAACAGTCCTACCGATGCAGCCCAGTATGCCATTAGCCCACATTGCAACAAGGCCACACTGTTGACTCATATCCACCTTATTGTCCACTGTAAATCCCAGGTCCTTTTCTGCAGAGCTGTTGCACAGCCAGTCAGGCCACAGGCTGTATCAGTGCATGGGATTTTTCCATCCCAAGTGCAGGACTTCACACTTGTCCTTATATAAACACAACACATTTTTTAAAATAAACCAGAAGCTTTACCTGATACACCAGGGGCTGAGCTCAGCTCCATGCCATCCCTCCCCACTGCCCGCAGTTCTAGGAAGCAAGGCAGGCTGGATCCAGCCTGTGGATCGTGAACACCGCATGCCCCTGGAGGCTGCCGGGGCATGGTGAACTCCTGCAGGCAGCCACAGTGCTGGCAGCGGTGGGAGGTGTGGCGAGCGCTGACCTGTGGGCAGCGACCACCTGCAGATACTGCTGGCAGCAGCAGTGGCAGCTAGCAGTGATTGGGGACCACCCACAGACACCTCTGGTGGTGTCTGCAGCAAGGGGGGTGGGGGGAGCGAGCAGCGATTGCCCACAGGCACCACTGGTAGTGTCGGCAGCGCCTTTTTGCAGGGGGTACACGTGCACCCACATGCACCCCCTCTGAAATCAATGCTGTGGACTGTAGGCTGCCACCCCCTGATGGGAGTCTAACCCCCTGGCTCAAGGTAGGGTCATCTGTGCGTAAGCAATGCCAGGCAAATTTTTTGTGTTGCCTTTACTTCAAAAATTTTCCTGGGATGGAGAGGCCACAACCTCTCTCAGGGCCTTCTGACGTGATTATTTTGGGGTGGCACCCAGAGCTCTAGACCCCTGGATTGATTGCACATTAGCACCTGAAATGAGCTTCAAGTACTCAAGGTGAGGTCACTCCAGGGCAGGATTATCTCTGATAGTGTTACCCAGCTTGTGTTACACTAAGGTGCACCACTCTAGGCTACACCCTATCCACCCAACCTCCCCTGCTAACCCCGATCAGGCCCACTGCCTTCTCCCCCCTGCCCTTCCCAGCACCCGAGATCATGGCTCACTGGCCACCCACTCCCATCTGTCCCAGGGAAGCAGGCAGGGAAGTGTTAACCTGCCTGCCTGGCTGGTGCTATTCTCTGGGTGGGCTCAGCCCAAAGAAGAGCAGCAGCCTAGCAGCAGCATCAACTGTGCAGGCAGGTTAACCTTGCCCTGCCTGCTCCCCCAGGACAGACAGAGTGAGCAGCCACAAGTAAGTATGGGGAACCCAGGGGGGTGGGGGGAAGCCTGGAATGGGGGGCAGGCTGGATTCTTACCTTTCAGTCCTCCAGGCCCCTGCTGGTCTAAATGTGTGACTCCTCCTAACTCGAGCTAGCACTAAACACTGATCAACATTTGTGTGGCTCACAGTGTAATGTGCAACAACGCCCTAAGATTGAAGCAAAAAAAAAAAATTGGTTTTGACTCATTCCAATGAAATCCTATCTGCAGGGCTGTGAAATAGGAGCTTCATTACCAGGAGCAGCTAACAGACAACAGTGTTGCAGAACAAAGGCTAACATGATTGGTGGAACACCATTAAAAAAAGAAGAGAGGGTCATTGACACCTGTGACATGAAGAGTTTAGAAAGGAGAAGGTACAGTAGAATGAACCCTGAGGTCAGTGGACTCCCTAAGGCCTAAGCACTGCCCAGCCAGAAACACTGATGCCACTGCCAGGCAGATGGCTTTAAACTTTGGAATACAAGAGCCAGTGGGTACAAGTGCATCAGTTCACCCTGCCTGGATCTGCCCTGTACACATCCACTGTCCTACCCAGTGGATCTTGACCTTTTGAGACTCAAGGCACCCCTGTATAAACTCCCAGCCCCTTGGAAAATGCCAGCTCTTACTTTTCATTCTTTTTTGCCTACAGAAAAACATACATTGAGCAGTTTGGTTTGGCAAACAATGGAGAAAGACTACAGCTGTGGGTTTCTGTTTGAAGTCTCCAGATTTAAATCTGGTCAATCATATTTGTAAACCTAGCAGTGCCAACATCACTGTGGCATCCTGCAGCACTCTTGAAAGGATCTCACGGCACCCTTGGGTGCTGTGGCACTAGTCTAATCTGGGAGTAAAACTACAGAGTCAAACCTGACACAACCACAAGGTGTAGCACCCTCACCTGCCACAGGTAAAGGAGTGGGCCAACCTGCAGTAGCAACAGCAACCAGATTGAAGAGATACTGTCTAAAGGGAGCACCAGGTAAGTGAGGAGAAGCCCAGGCAGAGCATGAGCCAGGAGTGTTCATGTAACTTGGCATTGCTAGCACAGTGGCCAGGGAGCGGTGAGCTTACACAGTCTGCAGCTTGACAAACAGAACCCGAAATGACACAAAACACCCACAGACCAAGGCGCGGAGAAGCTGTGAGCATAAGTACTGATACATGAAGCCAACAGCTATCTATTATTCCTGTGCAAGTGCCTACTAGGTTGTTCTAGATCAGTGACTCTCAACCAGGGTGCCTTGAAATCCCTGCAGGGGTGGCAGACTAGAGTGCCATGCAGTGTGAGCACTGTTAGGTGTGCAAACATGGTTCACAAGATAAAACCAGAGATTTCAAATAGGGATGTATAGTACTGAAACCCTTCTGACCTGCTTTGATCTTTCTGAGTTTTTTGCAACACAAATATTACTTTGTTATTTTTCTATAATAAAAAAAATCAAGTGAAAACGAAGAGCTGACATTTTCCTAGGGATGCCTCAAATCTGAAAGGTTAGGAACCACTGATGTAGATATTCTCTCTTGTTTGAGATAAAGTGGTCTCTTGTAGATACAGTCAATGGCTATTGCTTTACAGCTATTATTATTTTAACCCAAGAATCTGAACGTGTTTTACAAACACTGTACTTGTGACGCAAGTGCATATACTTATCCCCAATTTACAAATGGAGAAACTGAGGCAGAAAAGTTATTTACCCTACTGTTGATTGCAAGAGATAAGGAGACACTGTTCATAATATTATAAGTAGTTTGTAAATTGCAGGGAGCCTTAGGATAGGCACTTGATGCTTCTGTTTTTCCACTATTATGCAGTGCATTTTATCATCATCTTTTCTCTAGATAAATAAGAACAAACAAAAACTGCCCTATATGTTTAGTAACTAGCTTATTTTGGCACAGAGAGCCCTAGAAAATAATTTGAAGTTGTATGAAGTAATACACAAGTCTGCCCAAGCAACATTAGAGCATTCAGTTAGCCTTTTTAAAAAAACATCTGAAGCAAATGTTTTATCATGTATTTACACTGTAGATCACCTCAGCAGAGTTACAAAAAACAGTACAATTTAAATTCCATTTTTAGGGGCATAATATCCACCAGTTTTAAAGCAGAAATCTTCCTTACAAAATTAAGGAATGATATAGTTCTCATACTCTAGTAAAATTTAAATTTACCCACTGAAATCTACTTAACCCATTAGAAAAAAAATGTTTATATGCAACCAAATACAATTTTTATTTCTGCTCATTGGTATAAAATTAAATATCAACCTAAATGTTTTCTGGGATTAAAATTTGTTGACAATTGTACTGCCATTAAAACAT